ACCTCGTCTAAAGCTGGCTGTTTACCCGCCGATTTGAAATCTGCACGAACCACATCGTTGTGTAGAGGCGGCAGGGAGTTTCCCGCAAACAATAATAGACCAATCAGTTTCAGCTCGATCTGCTGCTAAATTATGGAGAAATTAGTTAAGCGAGAGCTGATGTGCTTTCTATAGCCTCTATTTGCATCTAAATGTATAGTCTACTATCAGATGCGCAACATAGATTCCGTAGAGATAGGTCTTGCGTGACGAACTTCCTCTATTGCTTGGAAAGTTGGACCCGGGCAGTTGATGGCGGAGATATACTTCACGTAATCTATATTGATTTCAAGAAGGCATTCGATAGTGTCCCCCATCAATGACTCCTAAAAAACAGCCGAATAGGTGTGGAAGGAAATCTCCTGAAGTAAATTCGAAGTTTCTTAGTTGGCCAATGTCAAACTGTCCATGTCGGTGACCAGCAAACGGTGGAGGTTGCGGTTGATAGCGGTGTTCTCCAAGGCTCCGTTCTTGACCCTTCACTGTTAATTATATACGCCAACGACTGCGTCCGTGAACTGGATTTTGATGTCGCTATGTTTTATCAATGGTGTTGAGATTTGCGGCGTCATTAGAAATGCAGACCTTTGTGCGATTCCACATCTTTTAATGCAGTACCATAAATAAAATACTGATACTTTGGAGCTAATTTTTGGGTGACGTTAATGCGAAGGACCACATATTTCGCAAATTAAACTTAACAAACTACCTGTTTTACTGACACGCTTCGTAAATGTTTCATTACAAGCCGTATTTTGATGTCAACTGCGAGCATGACAGCTTCACAAACCAAAACTTTGATGCAATCGTTCGCATAAATTAGAAACAGTAGCAGGGCTAGAACAAAACCATGCAGGACACCAGTTCCAGCTTTTACCCAGATTGACCTAGAATTGCCAAAAATAACTCCCTGTACCATAGGGAACAAAAAATTACGATCTATTTGAAGATTCTACTTCAAATTCCTCTTTACCAAAGCTTTTTAAAGAGAGGTCGGTGCAGTAGGAGATGCAGGGCCTTTCAGAGTTCAAAGAATACAGCAGCAATAGGATTGCCTCTGCCTGCGGCCGTCATGGACTTCTTATACTGATAGCAAATACTAATGAAGCAAGAGCGTCCCTGACGGAAGCTAAGTTGGGCACTGAAGCATAGGTTATCTTCTTACAGCAACCTCGACAAATGTTTTTATTATAATACGCTCCATTATTTTACAAGATATGCATATAAGTCTGACCGAGCCGTAATCTTGAGCGTTCATTCAGGGTTATTCCTTATGAACTAAGGGTCCCTAATGGCAATGTTCCGGAACCAAAGGAA